CTAAACCCTAAACCCTAAACCCTAAACCCTAAACCCTAAACCCTAAACCCTAAACCCTAAACCCCTAAACCCTAAACCCTAAACCCTAAACCCTAAACCCTAAACCCCTAAACCCTAAACCCTAAACCCTAAACCCTAAACCCTAAACCCTTCGGGTCCTCGATGAACAGAGTCAGGTGTACTCCCTTCATCGCTTCGCTCTCTCGGAAAGCTCGGAATGTTGTATCATTCGCCTCTGGGCAGCTCGAGGAGACGATCCACTCGACCTCCTTTTGCCTTCAAATGACCGTCGGCGTTGGCCCCTACAGCGACGAAGCCTTTCTGACCTTGCCGGGCCTGGCCCAGCGACCAGCATGCCTGCCAGCGGCTGGAGCTGTACCGCTACCAACGACTCAGTGCACAGCAGCTGGAAGCGATAGACGTCGGCAACCTCAGCCGTCGTCATGCCGCCCAAGGTTAGCAGGTGAGTCAGCGCTGCTAAGCTGCCCCCTTTGCCCCAGGGTCCTCTCAGCTTCAGCTCGAATCTTGACAGATCGATCGTGCGCGATGTTCACATGCACGGCTGTGAGCTTTCGACCATTGATCTTGAAGTCCTCTCTTCCATGACAGAGCTGCTTGTTCATTGCCGAGGAAGAAAACAGCCACCGGGATCTCATCAAAACCCTAAACCCTAAGCCGACACAATAGGTTGAACGAGAAGGTGGATACACAGTGATTACGGCCATGTGTGAAATGCTCGGAGCCCAGACCTGTCAGGCCCTCAACAGTACGGGCTTGGTTGCACTGCAGATTCCAGATAAGGGGGCCGCGGGGAGCTTACGGAAAAAGTGGAGTGGAATCGAAGGAGGCAAAGGACCTGCCAGGAGGGCAGGAGTAGGTGGTGTCGCAACACAAGAAGAGCTCAATCAGAAGTTCCATGCGTTTCCGACATGAAGTTGCTATATCAAGTTGAAAAGGAAAAACGAGTCGCATGACAATACAGGCGTTTAACCATTACATCACTGTGCAATCGGCGGACAAACAGGTGTTTGCAACAACGTTTTCAAGCACTAAAGAAATATTGCTGTCCATGTGATCAACGGTGAATCGATGGCCGGCCGGCTTGTAGCCAGGAAAAGCGATATCAAGCAAGAATGATCCTGCTGGTAGCAAGTAAAAACTGTCTGTGGTGACCCCTGGCGGCATCAACAACTGCTCGAGGTCAACCTCAGAAGCTTTCCTGATGGGAATTGCTATCCCTGGACACTTGTGGTCTTCGAGGCAACACGAAGACAAATTGTACGAGATGTCAGGAAGCTGCAAGCTGGTGGCGATCCTGAAGCCACTCGAGTTGAACAACTCGAACTTGACTAAATAAAAGGCCTGGAACACAAATTCACGATAGCCTTTCACATTGTCAACAGACGTACCTGTGAACCAGGGCAGACATCGCAGAAGTAATCTGTATTGAAAGATGGACAATTCCTGCCTGCTCTGATAAGAAAGTCAGTAAGCCAGTGCTCCCATACTTGAATTTGTCGACGAGGAGAAAATGACTCATTGAAGCTGATTTGAAGAACGTGATAATCGGTCGAATTGATTGCTGTCATTCGTGATAAAAAGTGACCAGTTCCCTCAAATCCCAAAACTGGATCCTCGTCCGAAAATATCTGCTCCATCCATACAAATTCTCCTAGAAATTTGCTTTGTCCTCGTAGCAGCACAGTCTCATTGTAAAGGTTCTGACAAGGTGATAAGTAAGCAGTGCAGGAGTCATTTACAACGGGAAGCGGCACACAGACTTGGATGCAGCTCTGATAGGAAGGGTATACTATCCCTGATGATCTACACCTGTGATAAGACTCCGATTTCGGTTCTCTGCAAAGAATCTTGTTTGAAGACAACGATGCGTTCAACGTGGACGACGAATTGCACCAAAATCCTTGTTGGTTGAGCAAAATGTTCGCAATGTCTTCATCTGATACTGTTTGATTAGAGTTCAAACCCGCAAGAACCTGTTCCGGGCTGCTATAGATCCATTCGCCGTCGCATGTTACAGCGAGAGGAACATTCTTTTGAAAGCTGTTGTCTCCGGTTACTTGACTCTTGATTGGAATCCATCGGTTGCGGCATCCAAGCTCTAAATGGAAACAATCCATGATCAATTCCATGAACAGAGTCAACCAATTTTTCCTTACCCTTCTTGGCACAAATCTTTGAGCGATTGGCATCTACACTTTTCAACAGGACCTCACAATTTTGACCCTGAGAATCATTTGTCAAGCGATAAACATCGAGACTGCAAAGTTTTCGTACAAAGATCGTCGAGTTCCACTCTGTTATCCATTCAGGAGACACAATCACACAAAATATGTCAGCTGTTGCTCCAGTTTCGTGAGTAGAGAGTCCTGGGTTGCAATCCATGCACCGTCCCGACCCAGACGTTGTCTTGTACTTTCCAATTGGGCAAAGAGAACATGGACCTCCATCGGGCCCCGAAGATCCTGGAGGGCAAGGAAGCAGCCCACATTCATATGACGGGCATACGCACATTTGATCGACTGTCGTGATGTTGAAAGGCAACGATGCAGACTCATTGAAGTTGTCGCTGTCAGTATACGAAACATATGTGCAGCACGGGCTTTGAAGATACATACAGCCAGCCGGAAAGGAGGAAGAGAATAAATATGTTTCACTTGCATTCAATGAAGTTGCAGCTTGATTACAGTCTTGAAGGGTGGTAACAGGTGTCCACGACGAATTTGGACATGGGTCTACCAAAGATGAGCAAGACGAAGATCTAGCAACATGAGAGAAGGTATAGTGACATACAGAGCAAGCAAAGGGAAGACTGCAAATATGTATCAAGATTGCAAGCAGTCGGAACCAAGAAAGGAATGGGAGCGGCCGCCATGAAGCATCCAAGGCAAAAGACATCTTGCTTGGCGTTATTTTCACATCAATCACTCCCGACGATAAGTTTGACAAGCCGTTTTCTCAGTACCCCAAGAAGCGATGGAAAATGGAGGGTGGGTGGGGCAACTGGTTGTTATCCGGTCTCTTCCTTCCCAAACCTAACAAACTTCACCTGCAATGTTTACATCAAAATTCTTGTATGTATTTTGAGTTTGACATCCGACATGATCACGATAGCGATTTACGGTTTTGAATGGCGACAAGGCGTTTAGACTGATTCACTTCACTACTGTGGATGCCCGCTCAGAACTTCGGTGTTCAAATGCCACTCTACTTCAGAACAAGCAGCAACACCTGGTAGACAGGCAAGTCCATGCCTTTAGAGACAAAGAAACCCAGGCGTCAGATCGTAGGAATCAATGAATTTATTCGTTTCAGTGGCTAAAGCATAGAGTCTATCGTTGAGAAAAAGAAAATTCCAGCCACATTTGCAAAATTTTTACCAGTTTACACTTCAGTAGGGCTTGATAGCCTGAGAAGCCAGCACTTGGTATTGCCTATCGTCCTGACAGCAGAGTTGATGTCAGACGTACTCGTGGTACCTCACGAGTGATTTGTTCAGCTAATATCGCAAAATTACAGTATCTGCAGCTTCATGACGAAGAATGCATCCGTCGCTTCCTTGGCTTTGAGTCTTTGGACCCCACAGGTCGTCCGGGTCTTTTCCTACAGTTGCACAATTCCCCGAAAGGACAGATCCCATCCTCGGCAATAGGGCATCTCTTGGACTGCGCATATCTGTGCAGCTCCTCCGGCGTCCACAGCGACAAAGTTTCTCGAACCCACGTCCTCTTGTTCCAGATGTCACGCACTGCCTTAGGACTGATATGAAAGCTCTTGCTCAGAATGATGCTAGCTCTAGTAGTCAACCCAGTATCCACCGGCTTTCGCGAAAATATTTCACGCGCTTCTTCTCCTGAGATGGTGGCTTTCCCGCCTACTCCAACAGCGTCGTGTCCTTGATGTGCTATCTCGTCTCCTGAAGAGATACTACCGACTTCGGCATCTGCTGAGGTGCTTTCGTTGCTTGTTTCTATTGTACATCCCGAGCTTACGCCGTCGAACAGCTTCATGTCAGAGAACCTTGTATTGCTCTCAATATGCCCAAGTGCTTCATCCATCAAATCTGTGAATGTGTAACCTTGCAGGTTCATATTTTTGGAAGATCAAATGAAAGAAAATAATCGTTAAAAACAGGATGTATAGCGCTGATATCTGGTGTTGGCGAGACGCTAATCCAAAAAAACTCCGAGGAAGAACAAAACTAGAGGGAAGCACTATTGACACCAGAACTGTTCAGGCATTCGACGTGAAGGCAGTGTGCGCTTGAAGAAGGGAAGAGAGCCAACTGATGGTGGAGGGACGATGTCAATGTCGTTCGAACGAATGAAGAGCTGGCTGCTTGCGACACAGGGGTGGTTGGAGCTACTGTAGCACTGTGATCGAAAATGCGGATGGGAGTGATTTTTGAGATTATTATACCCCTGGTGGTGTTGGATGCTACCCCACCCCCCAGTTACCCTGTCAACACAGTAGAAAAAGTGGTGCAGAAATGTTGTGGGGGGATAGGAGGAAGTGGTGCTCTAGTATACGTACTGGGATCTCTAGAACAATTACTATGACCAAAGTCATAGGACTTAAAACCCATGATTGTCATTAAAAATGATCCAGTAAGCAGCAATTTCCAGGAAAGATTCAAAATATTCCATTGCTTTTCAAATAAACAACGAACAAATATGCATTCGGGAAGTTGTCTTGCTAAAAAATCCCCCCCGAACCCCAACCCGTAAGGGGGGGGCATTATATACCTGTTGAACTCCCCTCGTTCTAGTGTGTAGGGGTTGTGGGGGTTACTTTTTGAAGAGGGGGTGGGGTAGGCATCAGAGTTGAGAGCAGCAATAGATATGAACTACAATAATTTTATACAAAGTGGGAGAGCCAAGGGGGTTGGGGGCAATTTTTTACAGGGACAGGGGGTGGTTCGAGAGCTGCTGAGGGGGTAGGGGGTGGGAGGTTCGCATTCCAGGGAAAGGGGATCTGGTTTTAGAGAGTTATTAGTTTTATAACACCGGGGGTGGGTGGGTGAATTAAAAATCAGTACGAGACACTCACAGTTGTAGCCTCCGGACCCGGCGCCGGCGCTGCCCGGGCCAGCCCGCCGGGCAGGGCGGGCCGGGCGGCGGGCTGCCCGCCACCGGCTCGGACCCCCGGGCCCCGCCGGCCGGGCTTGCAATTTGCAAGTTGGCAAACTCCCCCCCCCGGGCCAAGTTACTAGTCACGTCACCGAGTCACTGTCAGTGACCGGATTGTCCGATCATCCGATGATCCCCCTCGTACTGATGAAGGTTTTAAATAGTAAGGCTGACTGCCTTTGAGGAAACGGCTGACCATGATTTCAGGCCCGTGACGGGCAGTGGGCCTTTCGACTTCAAGCACAAACTTACCGTACCGTACCGTAGTACGGTAACTGTGCGGCGCACGCGGCAGCCTATCTGAGTCCATCATGACTAGGCCGCGTAGCCACCCTGACCGGAGCCTCCGAGGCCCTTCAAGGGCCGACTCGGGCGCGCGCCGGGCGACTCGGCGAAGTCACTTCACCAACCCCCGGGCTTGCCAACGGCGTCAGGCTTAGGCACTGCCGCACTGTTTCAACGGTACCGGCCCCCGCACTTCGTGATCGGTGACCGTAGCCGTAGGACGGTACCGGGCCCCGGTCCCCGGGCGGTGCCCCGGGCCCCGGTGGGCACGACGGTGGCGCGACTACCGTACGCCGGGTACTGTAATGGAACCTTTACTCAAAGTTAAGTTAAAAATCAGTACGAGGACAATCAGTACTGTAATAAGTTATTTACGCGCGACAGTGACGGTGCCACCGTGATTTCAAGAAGTCAAAGTTGAAGAAAAACATGACAAGAGGCGTGGGCCCTGAAAGAAAGAGAGAGAAAGAGAGAGGGAGGGAGGGAGGGAGGGAGGGAGGGAGGGAGGGAGGGGGGAGGGAGAGAGGATTGAGAGAGAAGAGCCTGTTGAATAAGTTTGATGGCATATGGGTTGAGGGCTGACCGTCGGACGGCAGATGGAGGAGACTCTGACGATAAGGTTGCGAGTATCAGGCCCTGCTGCTCCTCATGTTACCAGCCGCCGACAAATCAAACGAAGCCTCGAGGCATTGCTTGTCGACAGAATGAGGATCGCAAAGCAGAGGATTGCAATGATCCTGGAAGAAACCCGAATGTCGGGATCAAGAGACATGTTGTGGTATATTGTCATGAGCGATGTTGACGACGACAAAGAATCTGCATTGAGTGTGGCCCTTCAAATCGTCCAGTTCTTCACGGAATCAAGGGAGACTCTGCTTCCTTCACTTCCTTCCAACTTTGTTATTCTCGACGCTTGCCTTCAATCTCAAGGTTGTGCAAAAGCTGAAACGAAGCACCCTCCGTCAGGAAGACTTGCACAAGAAGATTCCCTGCCAGCGAAGCATGCGAGATGTCCTTCTCACCGCCGCACTCCTGGAAAATACAGAGTGTGTTGTTCACTTCTACACGAATCTTTTTTGCAATGGCAATCATTTCTCCACTTGCGGCTAAGGCTCCGTTACTCACAGTCTCGCATGATTTTGAATTGTACTCGAAAAGCAATCTCAGCATGGAAGGATTTACAAAGAGAGAGCATGAAACATAGAGAAATTCAATCGAAGGCGGATTTGATGCGAAAGTATGCGACATTGGACAAGTGGAGCTTTGTTGTGCTGTCACTTCGAACGAGTTTTCAACGAATATTGCAGTTGTTGGCTCAACTATATGAAACAAGAAGGCGGAATCAGAGTCGTTTGCTTTGGATTTTCTTTTCAGCGTGGCGACATCCTGCGTTTGAACTCACTCCAAGGCTGGCAGCGCCATCAAGTGCGTCTGAGATCGAGGTGCAGAAAGATGCTCGACAAGAGAAAACGAATCCCAGAATCATGAACTTGCGTCACATTGTCATGCCTTTCATGTCCTGGACCCTCTTGGCAAAAGAAAGGAGCCGGCGCAAGCATTTCGAAACGTGCAGATCGTTGCGAATCATTTCTCAACGGCTTAGGAATGGTTTCGAAGCTCTCGCGCGACATCGGCTCTTCTGGCACGATGCCATCCTGAAAGTGGACGCAAGATTTGCAACCCGGGCAGAGGAAGCCTGCCTGCATTCCCTGTCATGTTGGAGGGCAGTGATCGAAAGAGCGAATCGAACACGGGACAAACGGTCACGGGACTTGCGGCTTGTCAGGCAAGGGAGAAATGTTGACCTGGTGCCGTATCTCATGTACTGGGTCGATGAGACCAGGAGGAGGAACAGGGCGAGGCGTCTCTTTCACTCCCTGCTCCGAGCACAGCTTGCCATCTCCGTGCAGGTCAAGCGAGGACATAAGGGTAGCAATGAGGTGGTTTCGAGAGCTTGGTGCTCCTGGAGGGAGCTTGAGTGCCGCAGACGCCTCTGCTCCGTCTCATCTATGCCAGCCACGTCATCTACAAAGAAGGATTATGCACGCAGCGGGCAAGCCTACAAGAATGTTCCTCAGGCTTACAAGGCAAGCACAACACTCATGTCGCCAGCAAGTCAGTCACCGACGTGGAACTCGTGGTGGGACGCGGTCGGTCGGAGATGAGAGCGGGTAGGAGAAAAGTTTGACAAGAATTCTCATGAAGTCCTAACACAGACCTACTTCAGATATTTTCTTCTTGGTGAATAAAGTCTCGTCCACGTTGGGCAGGAGCTTCTTCTTGCTCCCTAATCGGAGAAGCGAAGGGCTGACGACTCGCGAGGCAGTCTTGCTTTCGCTCCTTTTCTTGCACTTGAGATCATGGATGCGACGCTGACGCAGCGACTTGAATGTCTTGCCGCACCACACGCACTCGCTGACTTCCTCCCCTGCTGCATCGTAGCGATTCTTCATTGCTCGCACGAATCCATGAGCAAACATTTCCTTCCTACCCCGAAGAGCAGCCTCATCCAACTTTTTCCAGCTGACGCCCGTCTGATTGTAGTCTTGCATGTCTTTCTCACGGATCATGAACGCAAGCTCGTCTTCCTCGCCCTCCTGCTCGTGAATGTCTTCGTCCCGTCCTCGTGCTTGAGATTGTCGCGGCGAACGTACTTTGTGAAAAGAACTCGTCGCCTCCTCCTGCTTATCATCAGTTCCCTTCTCCTCGCCTCTCATGCCCTCACATGCCGTCGCCCGGTCTGCTCTCGCAGATATTCATCCACCTGCTCGCTCAAAGTTTCTGTATTGTGAAGTTCTCCCTGCCGATTCAATGAGCTCGAGCAAGACCTTTGCTCTCACCTTTGACTTCTCGTGCAGCTTGCTGTAAATCTGCTCTCGCAGCTCCCGGTTGCCTGATAGCGTCTGCCCGACTAGGTAAAGAGACGACGGAAAGAGGACGAGAAAAAGGAGAAGGAGAGCAGTCGCAAGTGGCGGCAGAAAAGGACGAGATTGCATGCCAAACCTTGATCGAAAGAATGCTCAGCTTTGGCCCCTGATGAATCATGTGAAACTTTGTGATACCCCTCGAAAAGCACCTGAAAGCTGGTTCGATGGCTGTAGCTACGATGGAATGATTCTTCTGTATACGGAGAATATGCCTCTTCTACGCCTGACGCGAGCTGCCATCGAGAATGAGAAAGTTGAATCGAGAAGCACGAGCATCGCATTCAGATGTCTGAAGCAAGAGATGAAAGAAGGAGAATCGAAGCACTCGCAGAGTGATTTAGAGATTGATGGAAACTTACAGGGCGAGCATGATGAGGCAAGGAGGCCTGGAACCGAATGTCGCCCATCCCCTGCCAGCAACTTACTTGTTGACCTTGACCTCTCTTAGCCACCTGCTGATCCAAAGTGTCCGCCAGACTAAGGCTCTGAGATCCGTAGAAACCTCCTTCTGCTGCCTTCATGGCGTACGGCTGCTTGGAGCTGAAGGTACCCCTGCTCCTTCGCTCATCTTCTTTCATCACCTCCTCTTCTCCTATCATACCACTCGCCGCTTTGCGTTCGCTCAATTTCATGCTCGTCCAATCTGTTGTCTCCCTGATGCTGCTGACTGCCATGAGCGACGGTCGTAGTTGGAGGAATCAAATCTCAACCTGAACCTGAGGGGAGGAGGTCGCGAAGCCTTTGGTGGTGACCTGGGCTGACCTAAGAAGAAGGGGCACTGGAGAGCTGACGTACTTTTACTCCAGTCGGAGTTTGACTCAAGACTGTAACGGGTTTCAACGGTGGAAGACTCGGAGACCTACAGGATAAGAACGTTGACGTGGGGCAGGCAAGAGCAATTTCACGTCACCGCTGTGAGATGTCAACGTGAGGGCTGGGCCGATGAGCTCCTCTTACAAACGTCGCACGCAGAATCTGGAAAGAAGTAGGACAAATAAGGGCGAGTGAAGTAGGACAAATAAGGGCGAGAACGGGGACAAGAAGATTCAGCCGCAGCCAGAACAGGGACATACACTCAGACTACAATCACGACGAGGGAAACAAAAGAATCATTCTTACCGGAGTTTCATTTGGAGAAGAAACTTCGGATGCAGGTTCGCGGATGGTATGGTCCCACGGCACTCCTAAATCACACGTAAAAGACCCAGCACACTGAGATCATCGTAACCTACCGAGTCGCGTCGACAACTCACTGCAAAACTGTCAGGATCAAAGAAAGAGCCAAGAACATTCACCTCTGATCATTTCGTTGGTCTGTATTCCCCTGACAGCATGAGGTCATTCAAACAAACTACAATCACGCGGCCTTACAGCATGATGATGGGCAAAAGAACCTGCATGAAAAGGAATCCATCATGTTTAGAAAGATTGAAAATGAGGAAGAGCAAAAGAGAAGAACAAGGGAGTAGGGGGAAAGAGCATTGGGCAAGGGACCTTTTTGAGCAGGAGGCGGGATAGAAGTTTGTTGTCTCACCAGCACGAGGAAAGCTTGAGATGGAATCTTCTGGAGCTCGTATCACGCGAGAGAGAGAGTTCTCAAGGGCATCGTAGGAGGATTTCCCTGAAAAGAGGCCTGCGAAAGAGAAGAGGTTGAGAACGGAGTGTTTGACAGGACTAGAGGACCTATAGACTCTTGTTCAACTTGGAGATGACTGATAAAAGTTCCAACCCCTCGTGCCCTCACCTGCTCATACGCTTCTTTCACTTCATCTGGTAACGCTAGTCAGTTGAGGCATAAGCAAGGTCACTCGTCTCCACCTCGCTGCTCGCTTGTCTTTCTCATAGCAGAGACCCGATGCCTATACGCAACACTCGCAGCGAGCGAGTTGTCACAGTCATTCTCCCAGATCTCCTCGGCACGTCGAAACTCAGTCGTCGCCTCTTGGTAGTGGTGGGCGTGAAGAAGTTCCACTCCCTTGTCGTAGACTCGCCCCGCCTTCGACCTCAGCTCCTGCTCCCATACGTCTATCTCCACAGGTGGTTGCCGAGAGACTCCGAGAACGACTATGCTGCCTCGCTGTCCCACAATTAAAGCGGTGATTTCATGCGGAAGTTTCTCTTTGATGAGCTTGTCGTCGACAGAGAACAGCACATCTCCTGTCCTCAACTTCCCTCCAACAGAAGCAGGGCCTCTTCTATCGACATCAACGATTTCGTAAAGCTTGCGAGAGGGCAAGTACGTGAATTTAATCCCGATGCCAGCCAGATGATGGTGTGTCATCATTCCATCAACGTTGAAGTTTCGAACGACAGCGACACGCTTGATAGTTGCTGACTTATTGCCTACAAGCAGCGAGTTCACCCCCAATTGAACAGGTGTGAGCTCCGGGGATTTTTGATGCGTGAATTGCCTGCGAGAATAAGGCGGAGGAAGAAAGACAGATTCTTGGCTAGAAATCGAGTCTGTCTCAGCGAATTGGTAGTTTCTCTGCAACGCAATCATCCATTCCGTCTTCTCTTCAATACTTTGAGCTCGCAGGATGTATTTTGTTTCACCACACACCAGCAAGAATTCACAACCGTTCCCGTTTTTGACACGGACGTTCGGCTTTTCAAGTATTTCGTTGTGCGGAACACTGTTGGTGTCATGTCTGATCCATATTCTGTCTGTCTCAACTTGAATCAAACATCTTGTCTCCATTTTTCCTTGTAGCCCCTCAACATAGAGAAAACCTGCGGAAACCAAAGAAAGCATTTGATATCAAGTCTCTATACGCCTTATGGGCAAGCAATAGATTACCTTCTTTCATTAACTCCCCTCTTGCTTCAGCTGCATGTTCTGTCTGTGTGATTGATGCATGGGTTGTCAACGCACGAGCCTGCAGGTCAACGTTGTCATGTCAACCGTCGCATCGACAGCAAGAGGTGACGGACCTTGCAGTAGTAGACGACGACAAGCAACACGAGAGCGAATAAAACAAGCCCAAACACAAGAGCCACCAGCCAAGCACCTGAGTTAGCAAGTAGCACACTTGCCATGCCAGTCCTTCTTTACCACTCCTTAGACTTGCGCAATCGTTTGGTCCCTCATCCCATCACGTTTTCAGCCAAATCACGCCATCGTTTGAGTTGCATACATCCATATGCGCAGTGGCCCCGGGGAAGGTAGGAGAAGATCGGGTGCAGAAGAAGCCTGTCCATATTTCTCTGTCGCCCTCTCTTGGTTTATCCACCACATCCTGCTCCTGCTCTTGCTCCTGCTCCTGCTCCTGCTCCTCTTGCGAGCATGCTGCGTCGGACCTGACTCACGTCATTCTTGACCATCAAATCTTTCAAAACGATGACCCCCGTCAGCCAAAACGACAACCCCACCGTCCATTCCAGTACAGTTTCAGGCAATATATGAGGGGTCCTTTACACACCCTCTGAGACCGATTCTGATTTCTTCTTCTCGCCATGTCGGGTCAGTGAAGGATACAAGAGCTTCTCCTCCCGCTCTCCTCCCGCTCTCCTCCCGCTCTCCTTCCTTCTATTCCTTCTATTCCTTCTCTTCCCCTCCTCCCCTCTGCTGCATCTAAGCACCTCCTCTCATCCTCGCACACGCTCCTCCTCTCTTCCCACTACCTTTCATTCCCACCTTTGCCTCGCTTTCTCCATGTTCTTGTTGTTGCTGTTTCTCAAAGTCCCTTCTCCTCTTCTGGCACGTGCCTATGCTGTTGATCAAGTCAATCTTTGTCGATGCTTGGTGATGCGCTTCCCTCCCTGCCAAGACAAGGCTCAGCAACATCAATCCTCATCATCTCGTGTCTTGCTCGATTCAACTCCTTGTACTTCCTGCACTTACACTGTCCCACAGCTCGGGGGTTTCCGCATGAGCTTCCAGCAACCGTGAGGATCTTAGGAGGAGACGGCAGTAACACTGCTCTGGTAACCGATTACTGCTTTTTTTCCTATCCTGTTGCACTTGGCTTCTTACCCTCATTTCTTGCCTTTCTCTTATCTTCATGCTCTGCTCAGATGTACAAGGCAAGTGCGGCAGCCGATCCTTCAGTTGTCCTGCTCGCCAGCAGCTTTGGCGGACGAGAAGATGTGGTTTTCGTAGAAGTGACTTTAGCGCACATTGCTGAAGGAGGAGGAGTCAGTTTGGGGGTTACAACGGAGACTGGGAGCATAAGAGTAGGAGAGAGTGGAGGGTCTTATGGATATTTCTGCTGCTCATCAGGAGGCGAGCTGATATGTGCGGGGCGTTCGAGGAGGTGAATTCTCAGTTTCCTCAGAGCGGCAACTCACATGATGACAGGATGGATAACAACAGTTCGAAGGTTGCAGTCGGAGATAGAATCGGGGTTGGGATCAATGCAAGCATCTCTCAGATGTTCTTTGTAAAGAATGGGCTTGTTGTCAAGACTCTCCCGCTGGAGTATGCGCAAGAATCGTAAGTCTATTTATTTCAGAAGCCATGCAGCCCTGACACTGTTTTCAGTGATATCTCGACGCTTCACATCGCAATCTCTCTTGAGAAGCTGAACGATGCTGTTCTGATCGACAAGATGGGCACTGCAAGTGCTAAGATACAAGTCTTGACGAGTCGGATCATCCCGAAGCTTCCCAAACTGTCACCATTCGAACCAGACAAGCAGAGCCGAGGAGCAGCTGTGAATGTTCTCAAGTCCCCTCTCGACCAGGAGGTTGTGGTAGTGGGGGCGATGAAGAAGTCAAGGGTCGTCGTCCTCAACAGTCATGGCGGCATTTTCTTCCCCAGGTCCTCCTCCTGGTCGCATTCTTTCACTCACAATGGTCAGCAGCGCCCACCACCCGAGGGGCGTCGGATACTTCGAAACATCTCTGAAACTGCCAAAAGACGCGCAAGTTGTGATCGGGGCTATGATGTATAACTCCAACACTGAGAGATCGAAGTCGTTCAAGGTGACTTGCTGTGACGCCCTTGCAATCTGACTTGATGACTTGCTTGTTGGTGTTGATGGAACAATGTTACATCGGATTCCATAACAAATGTTGAAGCTGATTGTGTTGGCACCAGACAAGTGTGTTTTGGAGCAACCAGGGTCGTTTCTACAGAGGCGTTCAACCGAAACACTTCTATGACAAGAACGAAAAGAACGGAGCGAATGAAGTTGAGGGCGGAGAGGAGGATTCTTTGTCAGCGTTCAACGTAGATCAAGACGTGATAGGCGTCGGCATTGTCCGTGAAACATTGAGAGATGAGGGACGATCATATGTTGAGAATGACCATAATTTTAGGTGTTTGAAATGGATGTCATGTTCTTTACTGTCAACGGCGAGGTGATAGGATTCGCCTCCGTAGCGTCTCAACAACAGAAATCAGCAAGAGAAAAAATAGACAAATAGATAGCGCGCGATCATCGAGGTGACTATTCTTTGACCTTCGACCTTCGTACCGCTTCGATCTCCCTTTTCCTGTCTCTTCGTTGTTTTGTTTTCCTGCTCATTTTGTCTTCTCTGCCCCTCACATTTCCTTCTGTTGATCCTGGTTCTCGTCTTTTGCTGTTGTTTCTGTTATCTCATTTCTCATTGCTTTTCCTACACCTTTTGCGTTGCACTCATTAGAAAGATTGAACTTCCTGATTTGATTTCTTCAAACAACAACAGGCCACATGAACTAGTCGAGTTTGCTTGTGTTGTCAAACACAAGCAAACCGAAATGTCAAACTCTCTTGGCGCGATGTTCTTTAACTTTGTACCCGAGACATTTGTTTACAAAGCAAATCTCAAGCATATTTCTTCAGCTTTGAGAGAACAGACTACTGGATTTTCCGCCACAGGTTGAAAATGCTCACCATAGCTTTTTGTTTGTTTTTGTTTGTTTTGTGTGACTGCAATAGTCTCATTCCTCCATTTCGACTGTTTTTTATTCGTTTCATCTCCTCTTGTCTTGATGATCTCGTTGATCCTAGTCTAGGCGAGCAGACAAACTTCTCTTACCCGCTGAGGGACCTCCTGCCACTCAACGAAAATGTCAAAGCGCCTTCAAGACTAGGAGATTCTCAAAGAAATCCTCAGCCGAAACAGCTTAAACAACCACCGCAAGAGCAACAGCAGCAGCAAGAACAGAATCATCCTCGTCATCAAAATTATCAAGAATTGCAGGGAGGAAGAAAGAACGCTACACCTCGCCGGCAGGGTTTCCCTGAGAGCGGAGGGGATGACAGTCGAGCACGAAGCGAGATGGCCAAGGAAGAGGCTCGATGGGAGCGAGTGTTGGGCATAGCGAGCGAGCATGTGCTACCGCACCATAAGCTTGACGACAACAAGTATGTCAATGAAATCAAAGGTAGAGCTCCTCCCGCGTTGATGCCTTTGACCTGTTTGCAGCGTCTAAGGTCCCCAAGCTCTGGGAGACAGGCTCCACTCCCCACTGCACTCCCCGCGACTCCCGCAAGATGATGATGACCGACGCGGCTGCAGAAGCTGCTTTAGGAGCCGTCGCTCCTCTCCTCTCTGCCTCCTCCACTTCCCGGCTGATCGAGGACCTCGCGTCCTCCTCTCCCACTCGTCCCACCTTCCTACTCTCGCAGGTGATTCTCGGTCGACCTGACCTGAAGGTTCTGCTCTCTTGATGCTCCTCCTTGTCGTGCTAGCAGCCCTCGCATGGCATCGATGTTCCCTACCTCGAGCATAGCCCGCCCTCCTCCCAGATTCATCAGAGACTTCTGCTGAGACGAGGTAGGCGACGAGTTCTCATTTCGAGACAAAGTGACGAGGATTGAGAATGTGATGTTTCTAGGGATTATGGAGGGAGAAAGCTCTTCGTTCACCAGTGAGGCCGGACCTGTGATGCCCTTTCGGACTTCAACTTCGCCTACTTGTCCTCTCTCGGGCAACTTCTCTTTCTCTCCTCCCTCTTCCTCTCAGTCTCTCGCCTTATCTCCTGCCCTCCCTGTCCCCGAGGCTCTTGCTCAGACTGATCCCGGGAGGTGGAAGTTCTCAACAAATCCAGCAGAGCATGCAAGTTTCCACAGAGACGTTGAGAATCTGCGCTACGCCGAAGCGAGAGCAACAGGCCGGAGCGAGGAGACATCTTCAGCTGAGGACGGGGAAAGGGAGAGCTCGCGTGGGTCGCCGATCCGAGCTGACAATCTTGACGCCAATGCCCGAGCACGCGTGTCACTTGCTCAGCAGCTGCAGCAGAAGGTCTCTCCTCCTCGTCCCCCTCCTCGCAGCTGAGCACAGCTTGTCAGGAAGAGGAGTACGAGCTGGACGAGGTCTCGCTCTCTGCTACCTGGAGTGCGCGGCAGTTGAACGAGGAGCGACTGAGTCAGCCCCTGCACTCTCTGTCGCTCCGAGGTGAGAGGAGAAGCTGGGAAGGTGCTGGGACATCGAGATTCCATGAAGCTAATGCAGTTGGTGGTGAGCTCGAGTTTTGAAATGTTGCTAGCTGAACGCGTAGGGATGCAGGAGCATCCAAGGAGGAGAAGCGGCTCGAAGTGCCTCATGTTGATCGTTATATGTACGTGATCCTTCTATGTACGTGACGGGGGGAGCAGGAGGAGGCTGAGAGATCGGACGAGGTCGATGACGTGAAGCAGCTGCAAGAGAGGATGCGACAAAAGCATGCGAATGATGTGGAAGCGATTCAGCAGCGGTAAATTCCCTAGCCCCTACCCACCTTCTCCTCCTCCCTCCTCCTTACTCATACGTTGATCCTCCTTCTCTCCGGTGCTCCTCCCCAACTCCTTCCCTCCTCTCGCCCCCTCTCTCGTTCCCCTCCTTCTCGCTTTCTCTCGCCATTCTCACGCTTCTTGTGCTCTTTCACTTGATTCTTCTCATTCGCCTCTAGAGTGCAGCAGATGCAAACCGCCATGAGGAGAATTCTTCCCGTCTGAGCGTCCGCGTGACTTGAGTGAAGGTTTCTGACGGATGTCATGCTATCTCTTTCATTCCAATAAGCATACAACACCTTCCCAGCTCCTCTGCCCGAGCACAGGCAACCCTTCTCACCTCTTCGACTGCATCCTACTTTCTCTCTTTGAGTCTCACCTGCTGGACTACTACTGGGCGCGTTGCATCGGCGAGAAGTTCTGCTGGTAGGGAGCAGGAGCTCCGTACATGGGCTGCTAAGACACAATCAGCTGTAAACGCTTCCTCTTCCACGTTACTTGTGGGTAGCTGGAGGCCTGCTGATAGTTCGGGGCAGCAGCTGGATACATGCTGGGGCCTGTAGTGGAAATCTCACAAAGAAAATGGTAGGCACGAAGAACGGGAGAGAGAAGGGCTCAAAAAGTAGAAGGAGATGAGGAGGTGAAGAGCAGACCCTGCTGCTGCGCGACGTAGTTACCGTAGGAGGGTTGCGCCGCTGCGTAAGGCATCTGGTACTGCGCGGGGGCAGGAGCTCCCTAATCGTGATATTCACCTTCTGTTCACTTCCATCCTCTTCAACTGACCTGCTCCGGCACTCCTCCTTGCCCGGGGAGTAGGTGCGGGTAGTATCCTCCCTGCGCCTGGGCAGGATATGCCGGTGCCTGTCCGTAGGGTTGCGGGTAGGCAGGAGGAGGATACTGCGCAGGTTGCGCCTGAGCCATCATCGTGTTCTGCCATTGCGCCGCGCTGGGAGAAGCCCATCCTGCATGGTCGATAAGAGCATGCGGGTGCTGGCAAGGTCGGTACCATTGTCCACCACGTGCTTGTTGGCGATGTGTTGCGCAGCTGCTCCCTGCAGATCGATTGAGGTGAGCAAAAGGTGGAAGCGGAAGTTAGGAGAAGAGAGCAACAAGACGAGAGGAAAAGAGAGAAGACGAAGAGGTGAAGCGGAGTGGGGGACGAGGAGGAGGAAAAGGAGAGGACGAGGAGAAGGAGAAAAGGAGGAAAAAGCCATGCTCTCTCACCTTTGCCCCGCTCCAGGTGGTGGGATCAGCCCAATCGAAGGACTAGAGACAGGAGCAGTCAGGTCACTTAAATTCAACATGTGCTCACCTGCGACTTTCCTCCCTGCATCTTCTGCATCTGCAGCTGTCGCTCTGTGCAGCATGGATGGGTCGCGCCGGGCCCGCAGGGCATCACCTACGACAAGGTCAGGCCCTCCCGTCGAAATGAAACGAGACCTTCTGCTTCTTGACCCTCCCGATGTGCTGGCAAAACCTGATCCCACTTGATCAACGACAGCAGCAGCACAAGAGACAACCCACGCTGCGAGCGCAGCCATGTTGTGCAGCATGGTGAAGACTCGCGCCTGATGAGCCGATGACACCTCGTCGCTTCCTTGAAGTTCCGACGACTCTTGACCCCTCAGAGTGGCAAGAACTGACATCAGTGTCAAGACTTGACACCATGCACCCCATCGCGAGCAGTCTCACGTATCATCGCCAGGAGCATCCCGATCACCGCAATAGACGCCGCCGCTCCACGACTGGCAAGCATCCTACACCGATGTCTCAGTGTAACGCTCGCGAGGAAGGATGCTGCCACGTCCAACTATGTTGTCCCTAGTGAGCTTTCTGGCTCCAAAGGACCTAGCTTCACCTCTATCAAATCCTCCTTTACTTCCCATCTTCTTGTCCTGATGTCTAGTGTTCAAATCGATCGTCTGTCTCCTCCTCTCCTCGCCTTTTGACACTTTATCTCCTCAATTCTATCCTCTCTTCTAGCTCTTTCCCTCCACCCTCCTCCCCGTCCTTCCCGTCCATTCTTTCGCTTCATCGCAAATATCCAGCATGGCGTCGACAAATTCCCTGCCAGTACCCCACCCCTTATTTTCACCTTGGTTCCACCCCACCCCGTTCTAAACCTGATGATGAGCCATGCCCCTTCTGGTTCCGCATGCCCGCCTCACCGCTTTCATTTCTCAGTGATCGACCCTGGGTGGTCCCGCTCGGTCCCGATCAGCGGCCTGGTCTGTTGGGGGATGAGGACCAAACAACATGAAGAATAGCCCCATAGATTTTTCAACGCCCGCCACAGCGCCCGCCATGTCGGAAGAGAAGCGGAGGAGGAAGGGGGGGTAGAGTCAGGTGCGAGCGATCGGAGAAACCTGGAGCATGGACTCATGGAAGCAAGAAAATATATGGCCAGGATCCGTTGCATCGTCCTCGTTCACATAAGCTCCTAGCACTGCTGAAACAAGATTTTCCAACATGAGCGTGGTAGGGTACTTGAAGGATGTCAGCGAACCCGAGAACTACCACGAGCTGTACGAAGGGAGGACAACAGTAGGTCGAGCTGATGGAAATGACATCAAGATCCTCAGCCGCTCTGTCAGCGGTCAGCATGCAGCGTTGGAGATCGATCTGTCGACCAGACCACCAAGAATGGTGTTGCAAGACTTAGGGTCGAGGAATGCCACGTTTCTCAACGACATTCGGCTTGTCAGCGTATCGCGGCCGTTCGAGTGGAACGACACAGTTCGCTTCGGCTACGACACGTGCACCTACCGCCTCGTCGAGACTCTTGAGCAGCAGCCGCCACGAGAGCGCAAGCATGAAACCTCCGTCTCCGCACACCTGCTTCCTCCTGCTGGGATCCCTTCCGTCACTGAGATGGACCTCAATCGATCCGTCCGCTCTGTCTCCTCCCCTCCGAGGGATGCGCGACGTGGCAACAGGAACGAGCCAGACGGGCTGGTGGAAGTAGCACAGGACATACCGTACAGCAGGGACAGGCGGGAGCAGCAAGGCGACGGGCGAGGCGGGCAGAAGCGAGAAGAGTTTGAAGGCATCGGGTTCCCATCGGAGGATGTGGAGGAGCCCAAGAGGGCGAAGCCCAAGGGGAGAAGCCGCTCAAACGAGCCGGCAGCGAGCTCAAGAGCGCCTGAGCGAGCAGAGGCCTTCGTGCGTCGACGAGATGAGGAGGATGATTACGGGGGGAGAGACTACGTAAGTGCACATTGTCGATGCTGCTAAGCTTGCAAAGGAGGAGGAGGAGGAGGAGGAGGAGGAGGAGGAGGAGGAGGAGGAGGAGGAGGAGCAAAGTGGTTATGATGTTTGATATCATGCCTGACTGGTCTCGTCAGCTCCCCGATGCTACCGACACCAAGTTGCTCGAGAAGGTATTGCCGTCTTTTCTTCTGTTTGAGGTCTCACGTGACTTCAGAGGATTCAAGAACTTGAGCGAAATGCTGCGAACCCTCAGCGTGTTGTAAGTGTCAACCTTACATGAACCTCTTAGATGGTTGTCATTGCCTCACGAGATTGCCCCAGCAGCAGACTCAAGAAATCGTCACAAGACAAGAAGAATTTCACAACAATCATCAGACAGCGATGAATGCAATGCCACAAGGTCAGCCCTCACCCTCTCCCTCTCCCTCTCCCTCTCCCTCTCCCTCTCCCTCTCCCTCTCTTCTCCTACTCCCACTCCCTCCCTTCCCCTGTTCTCCTCCTCTATTTTTCGTTTCCTCCTTTCAACTGCTCGATCATGAACATCTTGATATTGTGTCCTGCAGCATTTGCGAGCGGCAACCTGAACTTTCAGACAATTCCTGCTGCTCCTCGTTTCGCCATGTCGTTAGGGAACAGCAAAGACATCGAAGAGATCATTCAGGTACGAGCTACCCGCCTTCTCATGCCCCTCCCCGCCGACTGCCGTGCAGGAGGAGGAGAAGAAGATGCAAGCCGAGCTCGAGAAGAGGAGGAACGACTTGAATCTGACGGGCAACTTCAACGGAAAAGGTCAGAGGCGCCAACTCGTGGGCGAAGACTCGACTGACAAATTGAACCAAGATGAGACTTTGACCGGCAACGTGATGGACCACGGGGATGATAGAGAGTTGCAGATCAAAGCATTGGTACTCCCTCCTCTCCCCAGCCTGTTCTCTCCCCAGCCCCTCCTTTCCTCTGCTTCCCTGACTTGTCTCAGGTCGCCCAGCTCAGCCAGAAGGAGCGGCAGCTAGAGGAGATTCAAAGCGACGACCTTGCTCGGTGTCTGCTTGACACTCAGGTGGGCTCGTCCGGGTTGGCAATTAGCTAATATGTCGAACCTCAGGAGAGTGTGAGACAGATGCGATCAGCCCTGGTGAACAAGGCAAGCCCCTCCCCCCTCCTCTTTTCGCCTCATCCCTCCTCCTCCTGCTCCTCCTCCTCACTTCTTATTTCTCCCTCTCCTCTTCTCCCTCCTTCTCCCCTGACTTTCTTGCTCTCCCTCTCTCCTCCTGACTCCTTAGCTCCTCTCGTCTTCTCCTTCCTCCACCTCTCCCTCTGACTCTTCCTCCAGGACAACGAGGTCCAGCGACTAAGGATGCAGTTGAAGGAGCTCAGTTCGGGTAGGCAGGGAGGGTTAAGGGTCGAACGGCAGGTCACTCCCAGCAGGTCACCCTGAGGCTTTCGACAACGTCATCCTTGATAGCAACTCAGAGTGCTTGAGGCTACGGAGAGAGGTCAATGATTCCATTCGACCTTCCTCCTCCTCCCTCGTCCCCTGTGTTTATCCCTTCCTCCTCTCCCTTTCCTCCCTCCTCTGCCCAACCACCACCACCACCACCGTCTCCTCCTTCCCTCCTCCTTCCTCCTCCTCCCTCGTCCCCTGTGTTTATCCCTTCCTCCTCTCCCTTTCCTCCCTCCTCTTCCCAACCACCACCACCGTCTCCTCCTTCCCTCCTCCTTCCCCCCTCTCTCTCTGTCCTTCGCTGATCCACATTGACAGATTGACGAGCTCAAGTCTCGAGACTTGGAAGCCTCGAGGAGATGGAGCGAGCAGCAGGTTCCCCTTCCTCTTCCTCCTGCTTCCGCCCTTTAACTCCACCTCCTTCTCCTCCTTTCCTCCTCCTCTTCTATTCCTCTTCCTTAATCCTCATTTTCAACAGGCTCAGCTTGCGAGCTTCGCCTCCCGCGTGAAAGAGTTGGAGCTGCAGCTAGCTCGTCAGGTGGGGCAGAACGCTCTGAGCTGGGGAGATAGAGAACAGGAAGAGGAAGCAGGGATGGGGGAGCAGGGAAGGAAGAGGATACGAAGAATTGTTCATCTGAAAATTCTCCTTGCAGTGGGATGCAGCTGAGGTCGATGCAGTAGCACGAGACTCAGAGATCAGGTAAATCGGCGACGAGAAGAGATGGGGTGGAGATGGAAGAGAAAGAAGAAAGCAGAGGAGGCGGCGAGAGGAGGGAGGAGGAGGAGAACCAGTGGATGAAAGTGCTGATTTGGCAGAGCGATGAATGAGAGGATGCAAGAGATAGTCGGTTCCTCGGACCCTTCCAAGATGCAAGCTGCAAAGTTCTTAGTGGATCAGGTTCTCCTCTACTCCTCTCTCCTCCTTACTTTTCCTCCTCCACCATCACCATCACCTTCCGCGCGTTCCTTCTAACTGTCTCCCCTTCCCTTGACCGGGAGCAGGTCACGGAGCAGGAGAAGGCCATGAGGCTGCAGAAGCAGCACGTCATGCAGCTGGAAGCGAGACTAATGGAGCTCAAGTCAGAGAACGAGTTTCTTAAGAACCAGCTCGGGACCGATGAATATGGTTCTCCTCCTCCTCCTGCTTCTGATCCCCCTTCTTTCCTTTCTGTTCTCCTCCTCCTCCTTCTCTTTCTCCTTCCTCTTCCCCTTCTGTTCTCCTTCTCCTACTTCTTCTCTTTCTCCTACTTCTTCTCTTTCTCCTACTTCTTCTCTTTCTCCTACTTCTTCTCTTTCTCCTACTTCTTCTCCGTCTACCTCCCCTCTGTTCTTGTGTTGTTCTCTCTGTCGTCTCATAGTCATCATTATTTCCCTTCTCTTCCGTGTTTGCACCTTCATTCCTCTTGTCGCCCACGATCCTCAGACCCCCTTACACAAATTCCCATCTTCCTTCCTATCTCCAGCTTTTCTTGTATCCCTTTCCTCTCTCCTGCTTCCCCTTCTGTAGCCTCCTGTCGATTCCCTCCGGCGTCTCACTGCCATCCCTCAGACAAGTCCAACTCCTCGTCTCTGCTGCGCCTCAAGGATCAGCTCACCGAACTACGTGCACAGGTTTACAAGCCGACACCTTCCTCCTTCTTCTCCTCCTCCTCCTCTCCCTCTCCTCCCTCCTCCTCCTCCTCCTCCTCCTCCTCCTCCTCATTGCCATCCTCCCCTGCCTCTCTCGCCCTCCCTTTCGCCCTGCTTACTTCTTTTGCTTGACTGCCTCTTACTTGTCGTGTGCTCTATCGCGCTCTCCTCCTCATTTTCCTTGTCACTCTCATGTCGCAGGGTTCGGTGCAGAGGGTGGCAGAGCTGGAGGAGACTCGAGATCGTCTCTTCGTCGATCTCCAGCTGGCAAAGGAGGAGATCGAAGCCCTCAAGGTAAAAGCTCAGGTCCTGTTGGGATGGTTTGACAGCCCAGCAGACTAAAGAGAAGCTCGTCGAGACCGCGGAATATGTCAAGGATGTCAAATCATCTAATGACCAGGTGATACCACAACTCGCACCACCACCACCACCACTATCATCGTCGTCGTCGCCGTCGTCGTCATCATCATCATTTCCATCATCATCATCATCATCATCATCATCATCATCATCATCATCATCATCATCATCATCATCATCATCATCATCATCATCATCATCATCATCATCATCATCATCATCATCATCATCCATATCTAACTGGCAAGTTGTCTTCTTCAGGTACGGGCGTCATACATCAAGAGCCTGGAGGAGGAGAGGATGCGACTGGAGAAGGAGAAGGTTCGAACCCCCGACCCCACCCCACCCCACCCCACCCTCCCGTCCTGTCGCTCTTCCTCGTCTCTCAGAGTGACTGGGAGCAGGAGGAGCAGGCGAAGAGGATCGAACACTACGAGATGAAGGAGGTCAGGGATGGCAGGAGAAGGGGGAGGGAGAGGGAGAGGGAGAGGGAGAGGAAGGGGAGAGGGAGAGGGAGAGGGAGAGGGAGAGGGAGAGGGAGAGGGAGAGGAAGAGGGAGAGAGAGGAACGGGTCATCTGAGGTGTCTGCAGGCATTGAATCGAGCGAGGCAGAGCAGGGGCATGTACTCGCAACCTGATCCCTTCCGAAACCAAGCGGGAACCGAGTAGCTCATCATCTGCTGTAGCTCCTCCTACTCCTCCTTCTCCTCTTGCCTTGCTTCTTTCCTGAAAGATCGGCGATGATGACGAACAATTAAGGCGATGTCTGCGGTACCAATAAGGAGGAGAAGGAGGGCGGGAGCATACCGTGTTTCGCGCGACGGAGTCGAGGAGGAAGCGGATGCAGGCCCTCTTGCTCTCCCATGTTGGCTTAATGCTTGAGATAAGCTGAAGATCTCTCCTGCAAGAGGACGTAAGGGAGCGCAATGAAGAGGGGAGGGAGGAGGAGGATGTTGTAATAAAGAGATGGATTGATGAAGAAAAGGAAGGAAAATGAAGACGACCAGAGGGGAATGACAGCGAGGAAGAAGGATCAATGGAAGTGAACAAGGAAAACAAGAGAAGAAAGCGAAGTGACGTAGGGAGGATAGGAGGGATCACAGGAGGGAGAGCATGGAAAGGAATAGAAGTTGAAGAGAAGGGTTTAGAGAAGGGAAGGTGAAAGTGGTGTGTCCGTGATAGAGCAGAACCAGATCTCCTCCCGGGATTCAGGTGACAGTCGCATGTATGAGACGAGTCGTTCCATCCTCTCGATCTGCAGGCATGACTATCAACCAACTCTCTCCTCCCACGTCCTAACTCTGACCATCCAACTTCCTCCTACCTCCCTCCTCCCTCCCTCCTCCCTCCTCCTTTCCCCCCATCGCTCCTCCTCTCTCATTCTCTCCCTTCTGCTTACCAGAAAGCACAAGTTTCCCCAAACTTCATCATCGCAATCAGGCATGATCTCCGCCTGCTGCTTTCTTGGTCACGAAAGATCCTCCTCCTTTTTCAACTCCTCTGACCTGCTCGTTGATGTCCATGAGCAGCCTTTCGGTGCTGCGCAGAGTCTGTACAAGGCTGAAGGTAACGGCAGTCACTTCCTACTGCTACCATCCCTCCCCTCAGTTCTCCCCAACTCTCCTCCTCCTCCTCCTCCTCCTCCTCCTCCTCCTCCTCCTCCTCCTCCTTCTCCTCCTCCTCCTCCTCCTCCTCCTCCTCACTGTCTTCGAGGATGTGGAGGCTCTCGCATGACCCAGAGAAAAAGCCTGCCAGAACTTCAGACTCACTGCCTCCTCTTCCATTGGGCCTCTTTCAGCTTTATCCTTCTCTCCTCCTCCTCCTTCCCCACCCCCCGCCCCTCCTCCTCCTCATCCTACCTCCTTGCACCGTATGCAACTCCCATGACGAAGAAAACGGCAGGAACAGCTGCCATGATCTGCAGCGCGCGACAGCTAAGATTCATGGATGGAGAAAGAGATGAAGGGGAAAGGAATGAGGAGACGAAGATAGAATAAGAGCGATGTAGAGCTGAAGTAGGGAAAGTTGACGATGAGAAGAGGAGGACGCTCAGGACAAAAACAAAGCAGGCAAGGATGAGGAGGAGGAAGAGCAAACAAAAGAGCAAGACGGTGGTAGGGGAAGGAGGACGTGGGGGACTAGGATGACGGGAAGAAGGAAGACGAGAAGGACAGGAGAAGAAGCAGGAAGAGGAGAAGAGGAGGAAAAGAAACAGCAACAGCAGCAACAGCAGCAACAGCAGCAACAGCAGCAGCAATGTCTTGACCTGCAAGCTAAGCTGATTTGCTTTCATGAGCGCATGGACACTGGCAGCTTCTTCCTCCATGTTTGCCTTGAGCGACTGGATGATGTGTGAGGTAAGAAAAAGCAGGAGGAGAAGAAGTTTGAAAAGGAGAAGAATAAGAGGAAAGGGAAAATTCATGAACCAAAAGGTAGAATTATGGAGACTGAGGAGAGAATCAACAAGCGGGAAAGGGGGGGAGAAACAGGAGGAGGAGATGGATGAAAAGCAGGTCAAATTTGCCTGCATCTGAATCAAGAGTGCTTGCAACATGTCGCCGAATAATAAATTACTGACTGGTCGACTTATCTGAGTAGGAAGCTATCACTGAACCACATACACAAAAGTTGTCCCCATCATCACCACCACCACTATCATCGTCGTCGTCGTCGTCATCATCGGCATCATCATCATCGTCATCATCATCATTTCCATAATCATCACCTCCATCATCATCATTTCCATAATCATCACCTCCATCATCATCATCTCCATCATCATCATCTCCATCATCATCATCTTTATCGTCTCTATATTTCCACCATCATCGAATTAATCACCTGTTCTTCATAGATCCTTGCAACAAGGTCAAGGCCAGCGTTTGAATCCATTCTCTGCAACTTGACATTTCCGAGCTGCAAGCTGAGAGTGACCTGGACGTGAGCTGGAGAAGTGACTCACCTTGCTACTGAACGTATGAATCATCCGCTCGAGCGACTCTCTGGAGATCTGAGCCTGTAGGAACAGCGATTTCATCCTCTCTTTCCTGCCTCTCCTCTCCCCTCCCCTCCCCTCCCCTCCCCTCCTCTCCTCTTTCTCGTACTGCTCCTCTCTCCCTCCGCCTCCCTTCTCCATCAACATCCCCCATCATACTATGTTCGCATCATCACCTGGTGCCGCCAGGCATTCAGCCCATCCCCGTGAGGATAAAACAGCTCCTTGTAGATCTCCCTCGCAGGTTCTGAAGGAAGAAATGAAGGAATTGTCAGTGCAGGAGCGGGAGCAGGAGCAGGAGCACAAGAGTAAAATGAGCACAAGAGTACCTTCGAGGTGGTCCCGTACAAAGCTCTTGGTAGCAGAGAAGGTAGATGAGAAGACGGCGAAGAAACCGCTAGGGGAGGAGGAGGAGTGAGAAGAAAAAGATGGGTGGGAGGAGGAGATAGTGTTGGTTGCTCCAAACTCCACTCACCTCATGATCTGATCCGGACGGAGGGAGAGCAGAGCAGCAATGGTAACACCTCCTGAAGTGGGAGAGGAGTAAGGAGAGGAAAATACGGGGAATTTCAGTGGGTTAAAGTCGACTGCGTAAGAGCAGGAAGCTGCAACGAACAAGAGCAGAAGAAGGGATAGAAACAAGAGAAGAAGATTGATGAGGTGGAAGTAGAAACAAAGTTAGCAGCTGAGTTGAGACAACACATGTAAGCTACGATTGTCGAAACTCTACCTCCTGCCAGTGCCGCCGGCCAAATGCGAAACATCATGGGAGGAGAACCAAGATCGCTGACATGATTTCAGCAGGGGAAGAGGAAGAGAAGTGTAGAGAGGCAGAAGATGATGTAGGAGAAGTGAGAAGGAGGAGGAGAGAATAAGAGAAGCAAGGAGGAGGAAAGGAAAAGGCGGCAGGAGGGAGGAGGGAGCTGACCGGGAGGCGGAGCCGATGAGGTTCTTTGCCTGAGGAAGATATTCGATGAGCATCAGGGACGTCTCGAGCGATTTCCTCGCAGCTGCTGCTCCTACTTGCATCCAGTGATGGGGGTCGAAGCTCGACGGGGTCTTGGGGAGTCTGACGGTACTCACAAACTCGTTCATCTCCTCGAAGTCTCCGCAGGAGGACAGGCTCTCTAGCGTTACCATCAGCATGTTCCCACCGTTGAGTAGCTGCTCTGCGCTCGCCGCGCCCTCCAGCGCTGCTATGCTCCTCCTCACCCTCCCGATGGCAGCAGCGAGAGTGGAGCGGAGGAAGAGGGAGCGATCTCGTTTCTTGTCGCACTGGAGGATGAGATGCTCGAACGTCTGGTCCTTCATGAAATGCACAGCAACTGCCACCCTCTTTGGGCGGGAGGACAACCAGCTCCACGAGGACGCGACCCCTGCAAGCTGTCCATCTGCCGGATACATGCTATCACCATGTCTTCCGCTACATGCAGGGCGGAGGCGACGGAGAGGAGGATGATCTCTACCTCCCTCGTGCTCGCTCCTGCTCCTTCCACCTCCTTTCCGGAAGGTTTCTTGAGATCCTCGAGTGCGAGCTCGATGTCGATGCGCGTCGCTTCCATGTCCAGCGCGCATCGCCCCCTACTGAGCCCTCTCAACCTGGTGTGCATCTTCGGTGTTGAGTACTTTGCCGACAATGAAAGAACATTGTCCATGGCGGAATCAATCCACAATACCATCGCAATGGAGGCGTTAGATGCTCAGTTTGGTTCAAGATAGGAGAAGGCCGAAACTGTAAAAATTGCAATCTGCAACGATAATGGAGGAGAAGAGCGTGCAGATAAAGTTGAAGAGAAGAAGGAGCAGATGAAGAAGAAGATGAGAAGGAAGAAGAAGAAGAAGAAGAAGAAGAAGAAGTCTCTTATCAAGATCCCTTTCTCTGATCCTTCTCTAAAGATCTCACGTTCGCTTTCGCGCCATGTTTATCCCTCAATCTCAGTCAAACAAATGAGGCGAACTTGTCGGGATGAAGATAACTAAAATTGATCAGACACCTTGGCAGCCACGCAGGCTGTCGCTTCTACTTCAGGCTTGCCGGTGTAGTCTGACATGTTGAGACTTTCTGCAAGACATGCTGGACGTTGCCGGAGACAAGACAAGAGGTTGTACTGACAGCAAAGAGACAAGACAAGAGGTTGTACTGACAACAGCAAAGATAATTGATGAGATAACGAGAAGAGATGTGAGACGGTAAGTGACGGAGGAGGTGCAGAGGCTAAAGGGAATGGTAGACGAGACTCTCTCATTCATGCGTCATACTCCTTCCTGCCTAGCAGCCGCTTGAGCAGACCCAGTTTTGTCCTCGACTCGATCTGCTGCTTCGTGCGTTCTATGCAATGACCCGCGTCAGAGGTGAAAGAGGACGAGAAGTCAACAAGACAACAAGAAGAGAAGACAAGACTGAAGACAAGAAGCGAGGGAGGGGGGGTATGGCTTGCTAGGAAGGGTAAGGAAAGGGATGCGGAGGTCAGGAGAGGAGATATCGGGGAGAAGATAAGGAGAGGAGCAGATGACGAACCGATCTTCTGCTCCATCTCTCCTTCTCTTGCATCTTTTCCAAAGGCAACCCGGCGGTCCAGAGCGTCTGCTGGAGAGATGAGAAGAGAAGGAGGAGCAAGTGGTGGAGAGTCAGACCAGACTGGACGAGATCGAGGAGGAGGATGTTGAGCAGGTCGCGGTCCTTAGCGTGACTCTCTTTCTTGTCCACCTCAAAGGCAGCGTACAGGAGGTAATGGTACCGATCGTCTACCATGAGCTCCACCTGCTGCTGTCAGCTACAACAGGTGCAGACATGGAAGAGGACAGGACAGGACAGGACAGGACAGGACAGGACAGGACAGGACAGGAGAGGTTAGGACAAGACAGGACAGGAGAGGTTAGGAGAGGAGAGGAGAGTGGGGGAAGAGGAGGGGGAGAGGAGAGGGAGAGGGAGGGGGAGAGGGAGAGGGAGAAAAAGAGGGAGAGGGAGAGGGAGAGGGAGAGGGAGAGGGAGAGGAGAAGAGAGGAAGATAGGTATAATAGAGGAGGGGGCAGGATGAAGGAGGAGCATGAAAGATCATACAAGGCAGGACAGAACATGACAGGACATGACAGGGCAGGGCAGGGCAGGGAGAGGAGGACAGTACCTGAGGAGCAGAACCGAGCCATTTGTCCTCGTCAGTTTCAATCCAGATGATAGTCTGCGTTCAAGTCACTCCCTTGCTTGTGCAAGAAGGAGAAGGGCAGAAAAGAAACGGAAAATGGAGAAGGGGAAGGGACCTTGGTGGAGGCGATGGCGGTTGAGACTACATCAGTAGTTTCAATGATCTTCGTTTCTGTTCCAGGAAACTCAGGGGAGAAGAAAGCAGAAATGAGATAGGAGATGGAAATTGAGGCGAAGAAAAGACAGCAATGGGAAATGAAGAGTGAAATCATTAAGAATTTCAATAAAAGCTACTCACCGAGATATGCGTGAAGTCCGTCCATCGACTTCAACTTCATGTTCAACTTGATCCGTTGCACCATCACGCCCTTCAATTTGTTATAAGCTCTCACAATCCTCCTCGTTTTCCTCATCGTCTTAATCTCAACCTCCATCTCCATCATCTCTATCTATCTCCATCTATCTCTCCATCTTCATCATCTTCATTATCATTTTCATCATCTTCATCTTCATCATCTTCATCTTCATCATCTTCATCATCATTTTCATCATCTTCATCTTCATCTTCATCTTCATCTTCATCTTCATCTTCATCATATTCATTAGAATCATCCTTATCATCATCCTTATCATCATCAGCGACAACTTTAACAACAACTTTGACAACAATTTGAACAACAACTTTAACAACAACATCAACATCAACATCAACATCAACATCAACATCAACATCAACATCAACATCAATAACAGCTTCAACTTCAACTTCAACTTCAACTTCTACAAAAACAACTTCAACGAACACAAAAACAACAACTATGAAAGCAAAAACAAAAACATCATCAACAATAGCAACTCCTTCATCACCTCCGTTGAGTCCACGAGCCATCTCATCAGTCGCACTAGCGTGTAGCAAAACGCCATGAGCCACACGATGTTGACTAGGAAAAAACGCCGGGGGGGTCGACGAGCGTGACGTAAATGACGGACATGGCCCAGTCAGGAGGGTCGATGTTCAGAGTCCCTCCCGTGCTGCGGTCCAGCAGATCGAAGGCGAACCCCCCAGCTAGAACGACTTGCATGATGACAAGGGAGGCGGAACTCCTCTCGTTGGCTGCCGTCGCTGCCACTAGGAATTTGGTGTTCTGCTCGACGTTCATGTATGCGTCTTCCAGCTGCTTCGTGTTGATTATGTCTGTCGTCTGGTGCCGACACGCTCAATTAGCTTGGAATAAAAGGAGAGAGAGCAGATGAGCTCAGGCAGGCAGGAGAAAAAGAGGAGGAGAGGACTAGAGGAGGGAGAGGAGATGTGGAGAGACGGTCGAGAAGTGAAGGCGGAGAAAGAGAGCATGGCGAAGAGGAGGGAGAAGAGAAGAGGAGGACGAGGAGCAACAACGTGACAGACCTGCTGTAGGTTGATGAGTTCGTTGGATGCACCGTCAAGGATTTTCTCAATGTCGTCAACGCGGACTTTGATTGAGCCCAGCAGGATGTCCAGCTTCATGACCTTGTAGAGTCTCTTTGACATGGCGTTGTCAGGAGGGGGAGGAGGGTGCAGGTACTCCGTGGACTCCCTCAGATACTCGAACGTCTCCTGTAACAGCACGAGATCTCGAGATGCCTGAGAGCAGCTGGGGGTCAGCTGGGTTTGAGAGGCTAGAGAGGAGAGGCAATCTCACCTCCGACAGCGCCATCCTGATTCTGAGCACGTTGTCTGGATCATCGTTCACCTGATAGAAAATCCTCAGCAAGTGGAAGGAGGTGCACACAAGGAGCAGGAGCAGGAGCAGGAGCAGGAGCAGGGGCAGGGAGGTACGAACGAGGAGATGGAGGAGCAACTAGGAGAGGGAAGAACGTTGCGAGGAGAGGGGAGAAGCCGACCTGGAGGATGAGCTGGCGAACAGACTTGAGGGTGTCGACGAGGACGAAGATGCGCTGGAAGAGGGTGCGAATGAATTCTTCGCGGCATTTGATATCGAGGAAGTGCATGATTAAGGGCTCGAACTGCTCGGAGTTGGGGCTCATGACTAGGATCCCGTCAGTTCCCAGCAGCACCAGCTCGTCACTTCCAAGGTCCTCAGCTGCATAGATGGCCCCAAGGATCTGCCGGAGCTCAAGCTCGTACTCAGCTCCGTCGAGGAACTTCTTGGCCGGCAGCCGCGGGTTGATCGACTCAGTCAAGATGCAGTTGAACTTGCTGCGGTTCAGCGAGTCCCCCAGGAAGACGACGTCGAGAATGCTCCGCTGGTACCTGCGGTATGTGACGTCAGTGCCAGACTCCAGGCCCGCACGTCATACCAGGAGAGAAGGTCGTCGAGAATCTTGCTGGAGTCGAGCTGAACGTCGACCAACACGCGGGCGAGAGCGTCGAGGGAGATGTTGTCTGCTCGCCGCTCCATGATGGCCTCGATCTTCATGCCGTTGACAACCGTCCCGTCCATCCTCAGGTGCATCCCGAAGCACTCCACCTGCACAATGCCCAGAGCTTCAGTGTACTTGATCTCCGTCTCAAAGTTGATAAAGTGGATGAGGTCAAAGTCGATGATCGAGACGCTAGTCAAGTCCTCCGGGCCCTTGAGAGCTGTACTGGTCGGCTTCGTGTCCACCTGAGAGGTGAAGAGTCCTCCCTGGCAACGGTCAAGAGCTCCGAGCCTCTCGTTCAGTGCCACCACGTTGTTAGTCCCAAAGGGGATCCACTCGACGATCATGAAGTTGACATTGGCCAGCTGAATCGCCTCGCTCATGTCATCGTGCACGTTTGACTCGCCCTGTGACGACTCGTGCGCACGATGAGCGTTGCTGCGGAAGAAACCGAGATCACTGCCATAGAAGGGTCGTCAGGTTGGATTACCTGGTCATGGTACGTGAGCCAGAGGTGCGGAGGATGGAGGGCAGGTAAGGGCTGGACACATAGCTGACATCCTCCGTGGTAGTCACGTCTGAAATTCGCTGATATCCAGCCTTTGACTTTAGAATGAACTCCTCGCCGTTGAACTGGCAGGTCAACAACTCAGTGTCATAGTGTGGGGCGTTGGGGGTGTAGATGAAGCTGTTCACTTCATCAAAAACAGAGTTAGGCAGCGACTGCGAGCTGCAGGTGAGAAAACTTGGAACAAACGATAAATTTTGAACCTTGAGGAACTGAAGGCCTTTCAGAGAGATCTGATAAGCTGTGATTGGCTGCTGATCTTCAGAGATGAGTTTGATGCAGTTGACAAGTTTCTGAGAGACGCGTCAAGTGGTCGATCAACAAACGTCAAAATTCTACCTCAACACGAAGATCGTCCAGGCAATTCTTGCCCTCTTGAGAAAAATTCAAAAACATGCGTCTGGTCGACCCTTCGTAGCTCAAGGAAACAGGCTTCGAAGCAATCAGCATATGAATCATTGCCTTGAACTTACTACCTTTGGCGAGTAATCGAAATCGAGCTGCTCTGCCTGAATCCCCTCAAAGATGTATACCATGATTGGGATTTCTCTGTAATAGGTTCTGTGAATCATGCCATAGGCAAAGTTGCTTCAACCTTATCCACGTCTCAGGGTCGTCTGCTGTTAGCGCACATTGTGCATATTTGCTGATAAGAACCAGCAGCTTGGAATGGTTTGCTGTGATCTCCAACACCTTCGGCCCCTGGTTGATCCCGGCATGCTGATCAACGTTAGAGTGACTGCAACAACATTCGGAAGCTCTAGCATACCGAATCATAAGAGTCTGATTCGTCGTCCTGGTAGTTTGAAGCCCTGGTGCAGCGCTCAATGACAAAACTTGAGGGGAGGCTGAGAAAACCTCGTAGAGAAGGATGATCGCGAAGACATGGAGCTGGAAAAGCAAAGTTATCAAAGAGGTATGAAAGAGTTTCGTTCAAAGACTTGTTGCTACGAGAGGATCTTGTTCGCTGAAAACTTCTGTGATCGGCTCCAGTAAGCACATGGGGAGTAGAGCAAGCGAAATACTAACGTCCTAGATGCCGGTCGCGCATTATCCCTGGTGAGCATGACAACAGTGACCAAGAACACAAGTATCAACCACACAGACGAATACCTTGAATATGCGCTGCTATCATAACTGCTGCTTACGCTATCCGAGTACTTTCCTGTCCAGATACCCCTTACAAGGACACGAGGGAACAACGTAGCTGGCTGGGCATTACCTTTCCGACGCGACATCGCTTCTGCTTGCTGCTGATGCTACAATGATTGCTGTTTACTCGTTACATCATACGGCCCAGGTCAACCAGCTGCTACCTTTCTCTTGCAGCGTGTTCTATGCGCCCTTGGGCTGCTAGCCCGCTCGTCCTGCCTCAGCCTCCTCACGTAGTGTGTTGTCTGTTGACTCAACTCGCTCGTCCCGCCATCGCTCGACGGGTTGTGACTCGCGCCATGCTCCGTCTTCCCGTCCGCTCTCTCCAATCGCCCTGTCAACTTTTTTTTATGAGCGGTGGAATGACCGGGCCTGCCTCGGGTCCTTCATCTCGCACAGAAAGCTCTTGCTACATGCGCTTGAACTGACATGCTTTACCTCCATTATAGCGATCGGCAACGTCTTCGTGCTGTCAAGATAGTTTTCATGTCAAGGTGAGCTATCTTGCTTGACGATACAAGGAGGAAGTGGCGCAACACGGAATGTGAGAGATAATGGTCTTGGTTGCTCTGGAAGAGAGCTCCCTGCAGAGGTCGACGTAGCAAATAAGGGGATTGACGTAGCAAATAAGGGGATCGCCAGGGCAACCGAGTACAAGTAAAGGAGATCAGCAGAGTAAATGAGAGGATCGGAAGGGTCAACAAAGAGATTGATGCGGTTAGTCGACAGAAAAAAGTGGCAGGGGAGAACGATGTCTCTGACCCAAAAATGCGAAGTTGCTGGCAAGAGTAGAAGAAATCCAAACCATAAACAGCTTCGAAAGGAGGAAAAGCTGCTTAGAAAGGAGGAAAAGCTGCTTAGAAAGGAGGAAAAGCTGCTTAGAAAGGAGGAAAAGCTGCTTAGAAAGGAGGAAAAGCTGCTTAGAAAGGAGGAAAAGCTGCTTAGAAAGGAGGAAAAGCTGCTTAGAAAGGAGGAAAAGCTGCTTAGAAAGGAGGAAAAGCTGCTTAGAAAGGAGAAAAAGCTGCTTAGAAAGGAGGAAAAGCTGCTTAGAAAGGAGGAAAAGCTGCTTAGAAAGGAGGAAAAGCTGCTTAGAAAGGAGGAAAAGCTGCTTTGATGCAGATAATTGTAGATCAATTCAACTTGGACCCAGAGACCCTGAAGGACAAGAATCCAAACAAACCAGTACATCCTTTGATCATTACAGGAACTGCAGGGGTTGGTAAACCTTTCTTTGCGTACTTCTTGCTCCTTCATATTCTCCGGTCTGATGAGCGAGTAGTCTATCCGAAGGGAACGGAGTATTGGTACTTGGACGGAATTCGATGAAAGGGGATGTGGAATTATATCGATGACAAATTATGTGACTTTCTTAAAACTCATCGGGTGTGGTATATCTGTGACAGATCTGTACAGAGAGCAGGGAGACTTCGTGATAGAAAGAAGAGTGCGAACAATCATCATATAGCATAATCTCCTCACCGAGCACGAGGCGGTTCAAGGGCATATCGAATAACTATATCGAATAACTTGTTGGCTCAGGAATATAACTTGCCCGTTCGGTCAGAAGAGGAGATGGCAATTGAGATAGGGGCGCGATTAGCGAGCAAGAAGACAGGAAGCTCATCAAGAATTGGGGCAACGAACCGAGGAACATCGTAAAGAGACCTGCGCTGTTATGGGTGTAGATCGCTATGAAGACCTGCGAAAAAGGATCGTTGTAGCTTGCAATGAGGTGGGGATGGTATCGATGCTGATTCACCTTTACCCCAAGTCTGACTACAAGACTGTGACCGCTCGGATTCAAAGAATGCGGAGAGGCTCATCTTCAAGAGACTTGTCAAGTATCATTGGGATGGGTTTGTTGATTTGGCTTTCTCGGCTTGTTGATTTGGCTTTCTCGGTTTGTTGATTTGGCTTTCTCGGTTTGTTGATTTGGCTTTCTCGGCTTGTTGATTTGGCTTTCTCGGTTTGTTGATTTGGCTTTCTCGGTTTGTTGATTTGGCTTCTCGCGTCCTGGTTGCGAGCATACACCTGATTCAGCTTTTAAATACTTTGCACATGACATGCTGAAGAGAGGAGGGGAGTATAAACTTCACAGGCTGCAATCGGACGGGGATGACGAGGCTGCAGTCAAGGATCTGATCCTGAAAGCATCACAAACCTACTGACCATGTAGAGCGATGGAGGACATGGCGCTCGCATACAAAATCTAGCGCAAGCCCAAGTCTCCAAACCTCCCGTGCATGGATGCCTTGTTCTTGTCAACCCCAGCTGCAACTGTCAGAGGCAAAAGCTTCGCGGTAAGTCAGGTGGACCTGCGGCCACCTGGTCGTGTGCAGTGCCGTGCAGTGCTTGTCAGGCACCGTACGCCACACTGCAGCATCGCGCGATCACGACTGGAATCCGATGGAGATGTTTATTATCATTGAAGCCTCTAGTCTAAACAATCCCAAGCCAAGTGCACTCAAGCTACCATGCTCGGATCGGAGCATGCTTCACTAGCTGCCAAGAATCGTCGCCGCTGTCAGTCAGAGCTCAGCTGACGCGTCAGAGCCGTCCAGGTTGAATTGAAGCCGCCGAGTATCCGAGTCACGTCAGTGCCTGAGCCTTCACCGAGCTCTCATGCTCACGTCCATGTCTGCCGGATCGTTGGGGGCATGGTGTTAGGGTCAGGCTTGTACCCAGCGGGTCAGTCCCTAACACAGCAGATAAACCAGTCGAGCCAATCGTTGTCCACTAGAAGCGCTCGATCTTCCGCCTCCCAGTCTCCCATGATCCGCAGCTGCTCTTCCGTTGTGCTGGCTGTCATGGGGTCAAGAAAATCTTGCGATGAGGAGGGGCAGGCGTCTGGTGAAGTCGCTGGCTGAAACGTGGAGTTGTTGGCAAGAGGATGTTGGCAAGACTGAGCCAGTCCGAGGCAAGAAGCACAAGAAGTGACGGAGGCACAGCAATCATCTTGGGATGGTGCTGCAGTGCTCTGATCGTTGGCTGAGCTCACTGATGAAGCAGCTGCTGGCCTCAAGTTGGAGGCTTGGCTGGCTACGTCAACGGTTGACGCGTCCTCACGCTTGATTCTCGTGTACGGCCATCGTCTGATCCCGAGGCGTCGGCAGGCGCTTTTGAGGGTCGTGAGCGAAATACCCTGCAGGAACAAGTGCAAATAAGCGAAGAACCAGAGAGAGAGGGACAAGAGAGATACAGACAAGAGACATACAGACAAGAGACATACAGACAAGAGACATACAGACAAGAGAGATACAAGAGACATACAGACAAGAGAGATACAGACAAGAGAGATACAAGAGACAGACAGACAAGAGAGATACAGACAAGAGAGATACAAGAGACAGACAAGAGGGAGAAAGACAAGACGTACCAGAAGCCTCGCAGCGTCTTCTTGACGGAATTGGTAGTATTGATCTAGTGTGGTCAAACTCAGCACCACCTGCTTGCCGGGGATTCCCCTTCTAGAGCCGATTCTGCCTTTCACAGTGACAGAGCGTGACATGGTAGGTGCTGATGGAATGAGGCTCAGGTATATGCGGGAGAAGCTTGACAGGAACGGAGGGTATGAGAGGATGGAGATGCGGCAGAGGGTGTGTCCGGGTTGTGCGTTCAAGGATACGGATATCTAGAGAAAGAGGGGGGCGGAGGCTCCGGGCTGGCAGGAAGGAGCAAACGTTGGGGAGTGTATCCTGTATCCAGCATATCCTCCCGGTGTCAGCGACCTCCAAACGTTGTGTTCTGGGTCCAGTGCAAGAGGGTTTATTTTGTATCGTTGCGATGTGAGCCCTCGGAAGTCACGCTGGTGCGGCGTGACATGGCATGTACATGTGTGATGACGAGGCGTCCGTGCCGCCGACTTCCCCCTCTCCCCCTTTTATTACTCACTGTCAAAGTTAAGTTAAAAATCAGTACTATGGCAATCAGCCAGCCGCTGACTGAGTTAAGTTTGGGGGACAGCAGTTGGCAGGAATAGGTTTGGTTCTCGCTGTCTTTTCTCTTCTCGCCGTTTGGCCTGTGCGACAGTGTCAGGGTCAAGCCTCCTCGACTCTCCTGATTGTCCTCGTACTGATTTTAACTTAACTTTGAGTAAAAGTAAAGAGTAACTCAGTGACGGTGATTCTCAGGCTCGTTTGAAGTTCCGAGGCTGGTTTAGTTGAACCGTGGCAGTTTTATAAGATTCCTGTACTTTGACTGTGAAATGATATCATGCCTTGAATCATGGACCGCCGCGTGGCCGCGCCGGCATTGCCAATGATTCGTCACAGTGACCGTACGGCGTCCGGCGCCTGCCGTCGGACCCAGCCCCGGGGCCGGGCCTCCGGCGGCAATGAGGCCCCGAGTCGCGGCAGCTGCCGCCCGGCGCCCCCGGCCCGGCTGGGACCTGCCGCGCCGTGTGCCGGGTGCCGCTCGGAGGCTCAGCCGCCGCTGTCACCCGCCGGGCCGGGCCCGCCCGGCCGGGCCGCCCCCGGCAGCCCGGATGAACTTCGGAAGCTCTCATGTTGGCCGTTGTAGAGGTTCATTGCGCTGGCAGAGAAGCGGAGGGCTGGGGATGAGAATGAAGGCATGCACAGAAAGACGATGAGGATGAGAATGAACGCATGCACAGAAAGAAGATGAGGATGAGAATGAACGCATGCACAGAAAGAAGATGGCAAGAGGAAAGTCAGCTACCAGTAGAGCTGTGACATGAATACCCAGAAACGAGTTGTCATGAGTGTACGATTGCTCCCCACGTTCGATACCACTTGGTGAACTAGAGCAATTGTTGGCCTCAAGTATGAACCATGCAGTGGATGGCAGCTCTTCAAAACAACGAGGCATGTCGCAGTTGCATGTTGTCGACCGAGTCAGAGCGAAGCTGAAGGAGAAGGAGGAGGAGAGCAATGGAGAAAAGAGAACAACGAAATCGCTCGAGCGATCGCTTGCCGTTGCAAGGAAGTCACGAGACAACGAGATGCTACTCACCTGCTACTACGAGCTTGCTCTTCATCATGAGCTTCTGGGGGAAGCGAACCCTGTACAAACTTACCTTGAGTCAGCTATGGAACTGATAGAGCAGCTGAGGGGAGGAAAAGAGAAGGTCACTTTGGAGGATTCTGCTCCTCTGGTTCGCATCTGGGAGCAGAGGGGGAGGATGGACAAGGTCAAGCAGCACTGGCAGAGCATCTACTCTGCGATGGAGAAGGCGTACGGATACAATGACATCCGGCTCCTCCCTGTGGCTGAAAGGATGCTGGAGGCGTCGCTCAGGACGGGGAATGCTGATTCGGCCAACATAGAGCAGCAGGTGGTTCAGAGGATCAGAGAGTCGCACACCCCCGCTGAGATGTTGTGGCCCCATCCTCCCTTGGGGGAGAAGCGGCACGTGAAGAACATCAAGCATCTCAAGACTAATGTGGAGCTTGCGCGGTACTTCCTGATCAGAAGGAGCTACAAGGATGCGATGAATCAGCTGCAAGTAGTGCTGGACTGGAGAGAGGAGCTAAGACAGATGGGCAAGGACTGGAGGAGACGCGATGCTCACCTGCTGGATCGGATCGAGAGCATGGAGCTGGTCGCTCAGGCTGTGTTCCATCAGGGGGAAGCCTTCGCTGCGATGAATCGGACGACGACGGCAGAGAGGAGGATGTTGGAGGGGCTCGCTCACTGGGAGGAGCTGATGGAGTTGGAGACATCCTCTGGCATTCCCGCCACCTGCTCGCACCGAGAACTGCTCTCCCTCCATACCCACGAGGTCGGCTCCACCTACAAGGTCTACATCACCTGGCTGCTCAAGTTGGGCAGGAACGTTGAGGCTCTAGAGGCGTTGGGCAAGTGTATCTCCCACCTGCAGCGCCCCCCCCTCCGCGCCTTCTCCCCCCAGTACTCGAGGGCGATTCGCGACCGAGCTCAGATCCAGCTGGAGTGTAACCACATCTCGGAGGGTCTGGAAGACCTCATGGAGTACGGGGAGCTGAGCTCCAAGATCTACGGGGCCAAGTCGACACAGGTGGCGCTGAGCTACTGCGAGCAGGCGAGGTCGATCAACTTCGTGACCAACCCGACGCAGCAGGAGTGGGACGCGGCTCTCCTGCTGGCTCAGCAGGGGCTCAAGATGCTGGAGCAGCTGGTCGGGCTGGACTCTCCCCAGCTCGTCCCGGCACTTCGGGTGTATGGCTGCCTGCTGGTGAGGTTGGGGCGGATGCAGGAGGCGATCTTGCTGCTGGAGAGGTACGACAGGATCACGGAGAGGTTCCCAGGGAGCGAGAAGAGGATCGCTGACCGGGTCTTCACGCTCGAGAGCCTGGCGGAGGCGTACACCAACATCGAGCCCAAGGAGACGAGCAAGGCCAGCAAGGCCCTCGAAGCTTGCATCAAGCTCATGCTCCACCTCGAGATGGAAGGACGCCCAGACGTCACCAGCATGAGCCGCCTCAAGGTCAGCCTGGACAAGGTTCGCTCGCGCTTCTCCCTCCCCGTCGAGGCTCGGTACCTCCACCCTCGCCTGCGCTTCTGCTGCAACCAGAAGTGCGGGAGGCAGGAGACTCGGCCGGATCAGTACCACAGGACCAAGTCGAGAGGCGTACTACGCTTCTGCTCCGACGAGTGCCTGGCTGAGTTCAACAAGTACTCTGCTTCCAACAACTGGCTCGGCCTTGACAGCGCCTGCCCTGCGGGGCCCCTGACCGACCTCCTCCTCCTCCGCTGCCTCATGTTCCTCCATGAGCGCCCCTACTGGTTTCGCCTCGCCATGGTGAGCAGCCGCCTGTGGAACCTCGTCTCCCACCATCGCTCCTCCATCCGCTTCCCCGAGATGGTCAAGCGACTGCCGTTGGACCCCAGGAGAGGATCCCCCATGGAGCCCTCGACCATTGCCAGCCTCCTTGGGCGATCACCTCGCCTCCTCCACCTGGACTTTAGTGACTGCACGGTGGTGGACGACAAGGTCTGCTTCCACATCGGCGAGGCCTGCCCAGAGCTGCTGACCCTCTCCCTGAGGGGCTCGAGCCACGTCACTGACATCGGGGTCGAGGACTTGGCCAACTGCAAGAAGCTGGAGGTGAGCTGGAGGCGAGGTAGGTTGTCAGTTTGACAGGGTGTGCCTGCAGAGGTTAGACCTGAGCTTCTGCGAGTTCGTAACGGACGAAGGCGTCCTGTCCATCGCCCGGTCGCCCTGCTCGCTCCTGCCGACGCTGGTCTGACGCGACAGCCCCCAGGTCCCTCGGAAGGCTCGAGCTGCTCTCGCTCTCGCACTGCCACGAGATTAGTGAGGTGAAGAGAGGACACGAGACAGAGGCAGCGGCTGACCCAGGGGGCTGCAGGAGGGAATCATCGCCATCGCCAAGGGGTGAGACATCTGCGGTCTGCTTGACCCCTGCTGGGGTTGACCTGGGAGTAGCTGCAGGCAGCTGGTGTACCTTGACATCTCCTACTGCAAGCGCATCACAGACCGGGGGCTCAAGGTACCCCCCGACCCCTTCCCGCTCCCAGCTGGCCTCTTCCAGCTGACTCTTGGCAGGCCATCTTGCGGTTCTGCTCGAGTTTGCGGCACCTTGACCTGCGGGGGGTGAACAACCTGACCACAGCTGAACTGCGTCGAGTAGATCGACAGGTGCGAATGATGCATCGTGCTCTCCCTCCCCCCTCTCCCTGCCGGCCTCCCTGCCCCCCTCTATGTGTCTCCTTCCCTACCGTACCTCCTGGCTTCCATAGTTCGTCCTTCCGCTCTCAGACTTCAATGCCCGGCAACCTTCCTCTGCAGCCTCTTAGGTGCTTGGTAGGTGGAGACGGTGCTGGGGCTGCCATGGAAGGAGCCGGTGGCAGCAGACCTCTTATCAACGGTGAGCATGTGCCAGGAGGGGCATGTGGAAGATGAAGCAGAAGAGGAGGAGGAGGAGGAGGAGGAGGAGGAGGAGGAGGAGGGGATGGACCAGGGGGAGGAGGCAGGGAAGTGGCTACTGAGGTGCCTTGTCTCAATGCAGGTGGAGACTCCACGATTTCGGATGGAATAGATCGAGATATGATAGGAGAAGTCTTGATGTTGTAAATGCTGTGATGTGTTGAACATGTTCATATGAAGAGACGTGAAGCGTTGAAGACTAAACTATGCGTCATTGCACATGAGACCATGAGACATCGCGATTGAAGTGAGCTGATTGTCAGCTCTCATCATCCTTGCACATTGTTTTGCCGTTCCACTTCTTTTCGAAGGGTCGAAGGAATGCTCGACAGCGGAGAAACAATTGCAATCAACCAGGTTCAGCCGAGCATACAAGGATCACTTCACTCGTCTTTGTGAGGGATCTGAGATGCGATGAAGAGAGAGTTGACGAGACTTGACAGGTGGCTCAGTAGCGTGTTGGTGTTCGCCTGCACAACAAAGATGTCCAGAGCCTGCCAACAACACTCAGTCCTGAAACCGAGCTGACGGGGGTCGATGAAGGAGCAGACCTGTAGCTGCAGCGAGGCAGTCTGTGCCGCTATCCCTCCTCCGTTGGCAATCAGGATGGATCCTGAAATCGACTTGGCCACCAGGGTGCCGACGATCTGCTCAGCTCCCAGCAGCGTGAGAAACATGCCCGTCAGCGCCACGATGACCCCAACCCTCACTGTCCTCGAGAAGCTCCTGAAGGACATGGCGGCCTCGGGGGTCTCAAGCTGCTTCGCTGCGATCCTCTGATATCCTGTCGTCCAGATCACGTTGATGAAGCTGAGCGCCAGCCCCAGCCCCGCCATGAAGACTCCGTTCGCCAGGATGTTGCCCTGCATCGGCCCTCGCACGGCGTTGGCGAAGAAGAGCGTGATGGCGGAGATGACGCTGGGGAAACAATCATTGCTCCTCCCCTCCTCCTCTCACATCATCCTCACCTCAAGATCACTTGCGCCCACCACGACAGCCAACTGGATTGACGGATCCTTCAATTATCCCGTCAGGTCGTGTCTGGAAGGAGCACACAGAACCTGTTGAACCTTCCTCTCATCTTCTGCATGCTCTTGTCGGGCGTTGAGTTCATTGAGAGTGGCAAGGTCCTTGATCGGATATGGCTGGTAGGAAGGAGTCAAGAGGTCGCGATGACTGGAAGAGGAGGTCGTAAGGGAAGGAGGAAAGAGGAGAGAATATAGAAGCTTGCCGCGAGGGAGGCAACAGAAGGTCTGGCAGTCTCTCATGCTCTCACCTAGTTCTCCATGGCGTCGCCATGGGTGTCGCCATGGGTGTCGCCAGGCTCATCGGCGTGTACATGACGCGTGCCGGACAGCCGAATGCGAGCATGGCGCAGAGGGAATTGCAGGGGCAATTAATAGTTTCCGGTTGTCTTCACGAAGTCCGATCAGTCGGCCCGGGCCGCTTTCTCGGATCCGGCCCGAGCCTGCGACGGTCCGGGATCATGAGAGTCGGGGCCGGCCGGGCCGTGGCCCGGGACTCCCGAGTTCCGGCGAGTCACCGGGTTCCGAGCCGGGCCGGAAGCCTTGGCCCAGGTACTGACTAGGTGGGGGACAGCAGTTGGCAGGCCTTTCAAGTTACTCAAAGTTAAAAATCAGTACGAGGACAATCAGGAGAGTCGAGGAGGCTTGACCCTGACAGGATTGGGTTTGGTAGCAGAGTGTATCATGATGGTGGGGGAAGCCTTGAACGGGACAGCATTTGGCAGGATTGGGTTTGGTTCTCGCTGTCTTTTCAGGCTCTCAGCACTCAGCCAGGCTGACTGCCGCATGACTCAGCCCAACGGCCGTGACTTCGGAGTCTGGCAGTGCCGAGTCTGGCAGGGCCAGGGGCCACTTGGGCCGTGAAGGTACTCTAAGGGGGGCCGCCTGATTGTCCTCGTTCTGATCTTTCCCTTAACTTTAAGTAAAACCTAAATTCAGGGGCGGCGCCGGATCAGCCACTGCCGTCACCCGGCGCTCACTCAGCGGGTCTGCCTCAGACTGAAGTCAAGCAGGGCAGCGACGACCCAACAAGTCCAATTGCTTGGGCAGCAGCACAGCATGCAGACGGATGTTGGAAGCGCGTGCGAGGAAGGAGAAGGAAGAGAAAGCGACATTGAAGAGACATCGACTGACTGACTTTGACATGCTCTGCTGCTATCTCACCTCCATGCTTGCGCGCGCTCATAGATACGCGAGGAGCATTGAGTAGAGAACTACATGTTCTCTTCCTGTAGTTAGGCTGGTGCTTGTACTTAACCCTGCCTGCTGCATGTTGTCGATGCTGTGAGAAGTTCTTCGAATTCATTCCGTCTGACTACCCTAATTGACCTGCTCTCTGTTTCTTTGTTCCTCATGATTACAACTCTCGTTTTGAACGACATGTTTTTTAGGTGTGGAACCACCATGGCCGACGACGATTTCGCTCCTGGTTGGATCCCAAAGAGCGCCATGGACGCTGTGCTGCAAGAGCAGAACCTGATCCAAGAATCCGAAATCGCTGAGCTGGAGAGGGAGCTGGCTGGAAAGCATAAGAGCAAGGAGAGTTCTAAGAAGGAGAAGAAGGAAAAGAAAAAGAAGTCGAAGTCCGGCAAGAAGAAGGACAAGAAGAAGCGGAAATCAAAGCATGAGAAGAAGTCCAAAGAGAAGAAGAAGGAAACCAAGTCCTCTTCCTCTTCCTCCTCCTCCTCCGATTCATCCGATGGAGAGGATGACGACAGAAAGAAGGATGAGGGAGGTTCTTGGGCAACGGCACAGGCAGCTCAGGTTGCGAAGACCGAGGTGGTCCAAGACCATTCCGAGCTCGATGCTCTTCTCTTCTCCTCGTCCTCAGGCAAGACCTCCAAGGACAAGAAGGAGGAAGGAGACGAAGTGGAGAGGGCAGAGAGGCCCGGGTTCCTGCAGCTGCTGCAAACCAACCCTGAGACCGGGCAGGTTAAGGTAACGCGACCCCCGCGCTGTCTCGAGGCCGTCGGACTGACTTGCTTGCCGTCAGGCTGGTGGGCTGTGGAACCCGAGGCCATCTGATTCCAAGGAGGAGGAGAGGAGGGAGGAGGTAGAGCAGAAACTGACTTCTTCCTCTCTTGACCTCGTGCTGCAACGCAGAGGCCAACCGCTTCCTCTGGTCAGCCGCAAGTTGGAGATGGTGGTCTTAGCTGGAAGGTGAGACTTGGACGAGAGGGAGGAAGCAGTAACGCGCGGGGTAGGCGAAGCAGCTCAAGCGCCTAAGGGAGAGAGCGGAGGCAGAGGGCAAGTCATTGCAGGCCTGTCTGATGGATGCTGCCGCATTTCGTACTGACAGACAGAGAGCAGGAGCTGGCGGAGAGCAGAGCAGAGTCGCTCTCTGAGCTGCAGAATGTGAGGCTGTGTGAGGTGAGAGCGAGGTTGACACGTGTGTCAGGCGGAGTCCTCGGCAGCGTCGTCTCGACAGGAGCATGCAGGGAGAAGGTTATTGGCGGGTCGGCATGGTCGGCATGACAGGGTGAGAGCTGATGGCAGGTCGTACCTTGATGACGTGGGGAGCGGGAGATCGAGAAAGAAGATGAAGAGACCAGATGAAGTGAGTCGCGTGCTGGACCTTTCTGGTGTGATGGTGGGCTTGCAGCAGGGCGACAGCGGCTTGAGGTGGAGGAGCCGTCGCGATGATCGCAGAAGGTTCTATCCTGCCCTCCTCTTACACGCCTGCTCGTGCTCTACTGCTTTGTCATTCGTCTCCTCCCTTTCCTTCTCTGTGGATACGCTGAAGCAGAGCAGGGAACAAGATGACATCTGGAATCGTGATGGGGAGAAATCGCTGACAGGTTGAGAGTTTGCAACTATATCTCTTTAACTCTCTATTGATACGATGGGCAAAATCTGTCGAGCTTTGTAAATCTGTTTGTTGTGTTGGCAGGAGTGGATTCTTTCAATCAATTTCGCAATGACGGCTCGTTCCTTGAGACTTTTCTGGCGCAACAAAAGAAGTCGGAGAGTTCTGACAAGCGCCAAGACAAAGATGAACATGCACGTGAGCGAAGGGACCGGGAGGATCGGAGGGACCGGGAGGACAGGAGGGACCGGGAGGACAGGAGGGACCGGGAGGATCGGAGGGACCGGGAGGATCGGAGGGACCGGGAGGACAGGCGGGACCAGGAGGATCGGAGTAGGCCTGGAGACTGGACTTGTCCCCTGTGCAAGTAAGTCGAAAAGAAAAGAGAGAGGGGAGAGCAAGGGAGGGGAGAAGTACTGGGAAGGAGAGGGGAGGAGGGAATAGAGGTAGAGGTGTAGAGGGAAAGAGAAGCAGGAGGAAGGAGATGCTGATAGGAGATCCAGTGCTTCTGTCTTCGCCTCCAAGACTCATTGTTACCGATGCGGAAAGAAGCGAGACGTAAGTGTTGATTGATGTGCTTGATTGTCGTGATTGCGCTCGCAGAGTTTGTTTCATGAGAAGGACGCCGAGGATTTATCTTCCAAGAAAGGCGGGAGGAAAGAAACTGAAGAGAAGGAAGACAAGAAGCGAACTTCGAGCGAGATTGTCCGTAACGCTAGAGACGAGAAAGGAGTAGAAGGAGGAGGAGGAGTAGAAGGAGGAGGGGGAGGAGCAGCAGCAGCAGCTCGTGCCGAAGACCAATCTCTTCCTTCAACCGCCGCCAATGACCGGGAAGTACCCAAAGCAGCAGAGAAGAAACAGGGAGGAGGAGAGGAGGCGGCGGGAGATGTGGAGGTGGGTTTGCTGTCTTGCTTCTGTGCTGCCTGCATGCCGATCTCATGCCTGCCATGCCAGATGTCGCTGTCAGAACCATCAGCCCAACTTGAACCGACGCCTGCAAGAGAAGAGAGTAGCACTGCAAGCCAGGAGGTATCAAAGCGGGAGGAGGGAACAGCAGGGGGAGGCAGGAGGCAGGAGGCAGGAGGCAGGAGGCAGGAGGCAGGAGGCAGGAGGCAGGAGGCAGGAGGCAGGAGGCAGGAGGCAGGAGGCAGGCAGGAAGGAAGGACGGGGAGGGGGGAGGAGAGCTTTCATTTTGTATTCTCACGCACCTTTCAGCCGAGTTTCGATATTGAGTTCCTCAAGGGGCTCGACAGAAACAAGCTGGAAGCTCAAGCACTCAAGGTGAAGCAGCGACGGAGAGAGAGGGAGGTGAGGGAGGGAGAGAGGGGAAGAGGGGGAGAGAAGGGGAGATGGAGGGAGGGAGGGAGGGAGGGAGGTAGGGAGGGAGGGAGGGAGAGGAGGGGAGGGAGCGAAGAAGAGGGTGAGGAGGTGCATGAGGTGTATGTAGGCGTCTGCTCGACTCTCTTCCTCGTTTGCTGAATTACTTCACAGGCGCAGCTGCGGGGAGACAACAAGAAGTACGAGGAGCTGATGACACAGATAGCTGCTATCGACAGGATGCGAGGAGGGGAGGGGAGGAGGAGGAGGAGGAAGAGGAGGAGGAGGAGGAGGAGGAGGAGGAGGAGGAGAACCGAGGTCAGCAGGGAGGAGCGGCTCATCTAAAGGAGGAGAGAAGGAAGTTGTCATGCTGCAAAAGTTCGATGCGAGAGGAAGACCGCTGTCGCTCAACTACGTCTCAAAGGCAAGAGATGCGAGGAGGATGAGAAAGTCCGGGGAGGGAGTAGGAGGAGGGAGAGACGAACGAAAGGGATGAGAAAGGAAGGAGGAGATGGAGAGGAGGAGGAGGAGGAGGAGGAGATGATGATCGGAGAGCAGATGAGCGACCAAGAAAAGGCAACAAGAGACCGCAAGATTCACTTCGAGGCTAAGGTTCTCACCTCAGAGCTGGGGAATAGCTGGAGATGAGCTGAGAATGTGCTGGCAGACTGACCTGGGGAAAGGGCAGCGAGAAAAATACTTTGCTGACGACGATATGACGGTCGATCAGGTGAGGAGAAGGAGAAGAGATGGGGAGGAAAAGGAAAAGAGGGAGGAGCAAGAGGAGGAGAGGGGAGAGGGAAGGGAGAGAAGAGTGACTGGTTGCGTAAGGAAGCATTTGCTGGTGGTGATTGATAAAAGAAGCGATAAATCCGCAGAAAGGAGAGAGGAGAAGTTGACGCCATTGTGGATGCAGAAAGAGGAGGAGGAGGAGGAGGAGGAGG